AAAAAAAAAAAAAAAAGTGAGTGGAAAAGCATAAAAATCACGTATTCCTTGAATACGTTTTATTAAAAAAAATTATTTAATAAAACGTAATCCCGGAATACGTTTTCATTTAAATGTTTTAATTAAAAAAAAATCGAAAACAATTTTTAAAATTGTTTTCGTTAAATAAAAAAAAATACGTATTTGAGTAATACGTTTTTGGAAAAGGTATTCAAGAAATACGTTTGAAAAGAATTTAATTTTATTTTAGAAAATACATTTAAGTAAAACGTATTTAAGGAATACGTTTTACAATTAAATGCACAAAAAACGTATTCCTTAAATACGTTTTATGTAAAATATATTAAAAAAAATTCTTATTCTCCATTCATTTCACGCGAGCAGCAACAGAGAGGGAGCAACTGAGAGGAGAGTTTCAAACAGAAAGAGCGAAAATACTTGAGAAAAAAAAAACTCGATCCAATCTTCACTCCAACGTGAACCGAGAACAGCGACACGAGGCTTATTTCCGGTTAATTCATTCACACGAGGTATATTGGTTTATCTTACCTTTTTATATTTGTTTGGAGTTATTTGGAGATTGATAATTGTTATAATATGTTTGAATGTGTTGGTGTTTGAAGATTGAAATTGCTAATTGATTAACGATTATGTGTGTATGTTGAATTGGAGATTGAAATATTATGTGTTAATTGTCAATTGTGTAATTGTTTGGTTATTGTTGTGGTTAGGGTTTTTTGAAATTAGGGTTTTAATTTATCGGAATTATAGATGATTTATATGTTATTGTTCGATAAGGGGATTATTTGATTGAGAATGATTATTTTTTTTTATGTTTTTTTTTTTTTGGTTGAAAGTGAATTATATGTTATTGATGGATTATGAGTATTAGGGTTTGATAAAAGAATTCGTGATTTTATTTTTAACAGGTATAAATGGCGTCTATCGGACTATCATACTTTGTTAATGTGTATTGGAATTATCCCAAAGAGGTTTTAGATTCATTTTCAGATTTTATAAACCGTCCAGATGGTTCATTTTGCATTGGGGAGAAGATATCATTTCAACAATTTGTAGATATACTTTATGAAAATTTTGGTTTCCGTCGAAATGGTTTGAAAATTGAGGGGATTAGTTTACTGACAAACCGACCCGATGGTTCGTGGAATATCGGAAACATGAATACTGATAGTGCCTTTGAGTGGATATATTATTTTCCTGCTTTCTCCTATGTGTATTTGCATTTAGAGTTGAAGCAGGTTACGCAGGCACCTACAGTGATTACGCAGTTTGAGGATGTTCCCCCTTTTTACGGGGGAGTGTTTGATTTTGAAGGTACGTCCACTTCGCATGTTCGTAATTTGGCGAAGGGACAAGCTTAACAGCCAGAGAAGAACCCAATGATGATTTCATTCCTGATGAAGACGATTTCACAGATGATACATCGGAAACGGAATCGGATAGATTAATAAGCGAGGAGAGTGAACCAGAGTTTATTGAAGAGCACCCATTTCCTAGTACCGGTCAACATGTGTATCGCGAGATGGGTGAGTGGGACCCGTCATGTGTAGACCGGGATGAGCATGCTCTCCCTCGTTGGAATGGAAATGTCGATACTATCCGTTTGGGTACTGTTTTTCGGTCCAAGGAAGAAGCACAGATTGCTATAATGAATTGGAACGTGAGTAGATTGAGGGAGGTTAGGTCAAAATATTCGAATAAGACATCATTCAAGGTGGTGTGAAAATCCGAAGAAGCTCAACCTTGTCCGTGGAAGGCTCGGGTGACGCACTGCACACGGGTTCATGAACTGTGGGAAGTAACGAAATGGACCGAGAGGCATAGTTGTATGCAAGAAGTCGACAAAAATGACCACAGAAATGTAACTGCCACAATGATTTCCAATCTTATCATGACCAAGATTCAAAAGAAACTGGAGTACAGTGTTACCCTGATCCAGGAGGATGTAAAAAAATGTTGGAAAGTCGATGTGAGCTATAAGAAGGCGTGGCAAGGGAGGAAAAAAGCCACCGACAGTTTGTATGGCACTTGGGAAGAGAACTTCGCACAACTCTCTCAGTAAGAAAAATTTTATTAAAAATGTACGTGTTATTTGTCTCACTATGTTTATGAGTATTGACGATTACGTTTTATAACGTGTAGGTTTTTTGCGGCGCTTCAAAGAGCGAATCTCACTACAGTTGTACAGTGGGAATGGCAAGGTGGGGATATGGCGGCCCACTATGAGCACAGAGAATTCAAATTTGTTTTTTGGGCTTTTGGTCCCGCGATTCAGACCTTCCAGAGATGCCCGCCGGTAATTAGCATGGACGACACGCATTTGCGTGGCTCATATAAGGGGAAGTTGCTTGTGGCTGTTGCACAGACTGCAAATAAGCGGTTATTGCCAATCGCGTATGCGATTGTGGATGAAGAGAGAAGGGAAAGCTGGTCATTTTCCTGACCAATCTACGGCAACATGTTGTCAGCGACAGACATATATGCTTTCTTTCGGACAGGGATGTTGGCTTACAAAGTGCCGTGGATTCATTGGCAGCTTGGCAAGAACCCGTTGCATATCACCGCATCTGTCTTCGACACCTTCGGAGCAACGTTATTACTAGGTACAACAATAGCAAAATCCGAAATTGGTGTTGGGAGTTGGGTTCAGAGCTCTCACAGAGAAAATTTGAAAAGATACGAGAGCGGCTTTCGGATTTTAATCCGGATGCATACAATTACCTGTTCGAATTCCTCTGGACAAGTGGACCCTGATTGGAGACGGAGGACATAGATGGGGTACATTGACGACCAATATGTCCGAGAGTTACAACAACGTCCTGAAAGGTGTCAGGTTCTTGCCCTGCCGAGCTTTGGTACGCGCCACATTCATGCAAACTCTGGACTTGTTTGAGCAGGAACAAAAGAAGTCCACGAGATGCAGTAATGCCATTGCTAGTGCCCACTATGCGGATTTTTGCGAATTGGAGAGTATGGCCGCAAATCATAGGGTGAGATGTGCGAACGCGGTGAGATCTCTATACGAGGTGACAACGGGTCTACGGGCGAGTGGTAGAGGGGACAAAACGTATGTGGTTTATTTATTTATTGTATAATTTTAATTTTTTTTAATTTTGTTCATTAAAATTTTTAGTTGTTTATAAATATAATTCAATGTGTGGAAAAACAGGTGTAAGGTTTGGTTCGACGAGAGGCGTTGTCGTTGTCTGAAGTGGCAGACACATAGGAAATCGTGCTCTCATGCTATAGCTGTGTGTCGGCAACTTAATACTCCACCGAAGTTATTGTGGGATCCCCACTTTTGGACGGAGACCTGGGTAGCTCAGTTTTCTAATTGGACTTTTGCTCCGATTGGTGATCCAGACACATGGCTATGAGTATTTTGTCACTTTTATTGATGATTATTCTAGATATGGGTACATTTA